ACATACTCCTGGATCGTAGGTTGCGCTCAGCTTTGCGCACCTCTGTTTTCTTCCGGATCAAAAAACATCATCGCAAACCGCAACCTCGGCGCCGCGCTAACCAAGCACCTTGGCGCCTGAATTCAGAGTCACCCTCTGTAACCTGAGGGATTCGATGACCCCGCAACATTTTCCACACTGTCGTTCAAGGGCAATCCTCTCTGGTGATTCGGTCCAACCAATGTTGGGTCCTGGTTCTATGTCCAGCGGCCTCATGTTGGACAAGTCCGGTAGTCGAGAGGTGCAAACGACTCTAATCCTACTTCTCTTCAGGTCCTACCAAGCGAGTTGTTGTTGTTGCTACTGGGCCAGCCTGCACTCCCTTGCGGCATGTATTGACCTTGGTCGTCCTCGGCTATCTGGTCAAACGTGTTCCACGTATCGCGATTGAGCCCTTCAATGGGGAAGCCCTGGGCGCTTCTGTCACCGCCCATCCCGGATTCGTTGTGCACGTGGCGGGGAGACGGCGAGGGGAAGGGCTCATGAGGAGACATGTCGTGAGGGCGTTGTTGGGAATACAACATGGATGTCATGTAGTTGCCTCCACCCATTGACCTTGATGGGTCGCTTGATACAGCTGGCAAGCTGCTAGCAAGACCCATTTCGGGGCCCGTGACGGGCTCGTAAGCTGTTGAGTGTCGTCGAGGATGGTGCTGTGACTCGAGTACCATGTTTCGAGACATGTCGGGAGCCAAGCCAGCACTTGACGGATACCGGCCTGCACGGCTCAGGCTATCATATGCGTAATTTGGGTGTTGAGGCTGCGCATAGCCAACGTTGCTGACGGACCCGGGGACTGGATTCATATACGACATGTACGGTGGATGGCCGAACTGCGCCGCAGGCATTCCGCTCATGTGTAGCGAAGGCACCGACATTGCTCGTGACAGGCTCTGGTGGTGGCCGTTAACGGGATAGTGTTGCGCGAAAAGTCCGTGACCTCCTCGGGAGTCGTCCATCTCGACCTCGTCAATTGGGGCGCGGAAATTTTGCGACATGATCAACTCCCCTCTAGGAATAATGGTAGAGAGCTGGTGATCTTTGGAAGGGGTCATCAGCTTGCCCTCTGTGACATCTTCGACGTTGTAATAGGACACCAGGTGGTGCGGCACGCCCTGGTAAGTCACACTGATCGTCTTCTTCACCAGACCGTTTTCCTTGAAGGGATACGAGTCGACTAGGGATCCAATCAATGCTCGCTCCGCGTCCTTGTTACCGCCTTGCGAGCCATCCCCCATGCCCATAGTAGACGCAGCTCCGTTGACGCTGCCTTGGCGCGCGACCTCAGGCTTCGTTACACCTGTGGGTTTTTTGTTACGTTTCATGGCGCGCTTCTTTTCGCCCGGCGGGAACGGCCGGTCGAGTTCGCGGTAGATGAGGAAGTTGCCGAGGATACGACTGGGACTCCAAGCAACTCCGTCAGTCCAGCGCTTGATGCCGGACGAGTGCTCCTCGTAGATGAAGACATTGCCGCTCTTGATGAGATCCTGGCGTTCGCGGTCGTGTGGTCTGCGGGGGACATGGTGTAGTGCACTGCTCAGACATGCTTCAAAGAGAACCAGAGCGTCGAGGGTGGAAGCAACGTGGCCGATGAAGGTTGGGTTTAATGGGACGTTGGAATTCGCCATTTTTGGCTTCCGGTTGCGCCGAGTCTAATCGTGTAAGTTACGTTGAACGTTTGCGGTAACGATGGTAGAGTTGCGCCACTTACCGGCAGTACGTGTATGCGTTGGAAAGGAAATGTTGAATAGAGTGTGAAAGGTTCAGTCCTCCCAGATGATGGTGATGATGATGATGATGGGGAGGAGAAGGGAAGCGAAGCTAGCCCTGCTGACTTGACTAGCGAGTGCTCGTGAGAACAGTGATGGAGCCGCACAGTTGAGCGTGATGTTGAGACTAAGACGCGCGAGGATGGAAAGAGGAGGGCGTAGACAGAAGGAACGCCGGTGGGAGGAGGAGGGAAGAAAGTCTTTCAACGGCGACAAGAAGATTAAGACTTGTTAAAGCTAAATTTCCAAAGCGTTTCTGCGAAGGAGAGAAGAGGGAGGGGAATATAATGGGCAGGAGGGTAAGGTAAGGTACCACACGGTACGTGTGTGGAGCTCTGAATCTGCAGCAAGACGCGGGACCGTGGTTCGCCCTGCGCTTATCGTAGTATCCAGGTCGCGAGAATGTATGCTTCCGAGCGCCTCCTTGTTCACCTTTCCGTCTTCTGGTTCAGCCACCGAGAACAGAAGCTGTGTTGGAAGACTCAAGGTTACCGTCACCTGACGCGTGAAGCTTGGGTGTGGGATGGCGCGACGGGCTCAACGCCTCTGATCGGAGAGAGTATACAGTTCTGGACTGGCCCAAGCAAGAGGAGGAGCTTGAGGACGGAATGTGTACGGCCAGAAGCAGCAGGCAACGGGATAGATGTTCGTGTATGTCTATGGCTTGTGGCTTGCGTGGGTCAGGAACCGGAGGTTGATGGTGAGATCCAGTGTTTTAAGGTTTGTCAAGCGTAGCACGGTTGAATGTTGGCGGCGTGTTAGCTGCGCGGTCTGGGTTTCTCTCTTTCCTGTCGGGGCGGTTTGCGGTGAACTGGTGGATGTCCAGGTTCCAGAACAATTACTGTGGTATAGGTTCCGAGGAAGGAGGATGATTGTGTGTGTGTGCGTGAGGGAGAGCGAGAGAGAGAGAGAGAGAAAGAAGGAAAGAGGCTCGTCCTTCTCACTGGGAAGAGAAGGAGTGATGAGAGTTAGAGGTAGGTGGGTGCGGAGGATGAGGAGCAGCTAGCTGGCGAGATTCTTGTTGCAAAGGAATGAGCGTGGGTGGTGGTTGATGTATGCGGTGTGATGTACTGTTGTGCTGTGGTGTGCTTTGGTTTGCCTTGCTTTGCTGCAGTGGGTGGAACGGACCCTGAGATCTTAGATGTCGGGAAGGGAGTAAACAGAAGGGAGGGCCTCGGAGGTTTTTGATTTCTTGAACCGAGTGGTTGAGCCTCGAACTCCTGGTATCCTGAGCTTCGGATGCTAGGGACTGCAGCAAGAAGTAGATGAAGTAGTCTGCAGACTGGATGTCGCCGAGGACTTATATGAATGTCGGTGCCCGACGGTAAAACTGGTAATTGCGCGTGAAGATCGGGAGACTGGATGAAATAATATGTCCATGTACTCTTTTTGCAGTGCAATCAGGGGAGGAGTGAGGTGAGAGAGCGCGCGCGCGCCCACGGCAGCCGAGAACAAGATGGAGGTGCCTCGAGCTCAGAGAACCAGGATAGTACAGACAGGCCTGGGTTAAGACAATAGACAGGGCAGATCGGACCCAGGGCTCAAGGCGGGATGCCGACGTAGGGCCAGGCAAGGTGCCGCGGTCGAGGAGATCAGGAAGCTGTTTGAAGCCGAGCAAGGGTAGCAGATGAAGCTCTACCATGTACGTCGAGAGCCAAGAAAGACAAGGCGGACGGGGCAGAGGGCAGAGCGGCGTCGGCGGTAGCGGCAGCACAGGATGTATCCTTAGAGGAGGTGGAAGTGGAGGAGGTGGAGGGGAGAAGGTCAAGGTCAAGGAGGGCCAGAGTGACGAGTGACGACGGGACGGACGAGGTGGAAAGTGACAAGCATTCGCGAGAAAGAGAGAGAGAGAGATCAGTCGCATCAACAAGAGGTACGGGTAGATAGAACACAGGCGCGGGAGCCAGAGCCTAGAAACAGAGCCAAAAGAGTCAGTACCCTTTTCCCTCCAAAGCAGAGCCGGTGGGTGTGGAGGCAAGCAGGACAAGGCGGAGGGAAAGACGGCGGCGGCGGCGGCGGCGGTGGGACTTGGACTAGGATTGGGACTACTTACTGGTAACTGTGTATTCGTAGAGGACGCAAAGACACACAACCCAGCTCACAGGATACAGGGGGGTCGAGCTAAGGAGGGTATGGGGTGTGAAGAGTGAGAGGGGAGAGAGTGAGAGAGAGACAGAGAGAGAGAGAGAGAGAGAGATGGGGTACAAGAGGAGTGTGGATTAGAGGCAGGGGGGAGGGCGTGTGGGAGAGACGGGGAGAAAGAGGGAGGGAGTGCGATGTAAGAGGTAAGAGTGAGAGAAAGGGAAGAGAGTGAGAGAGAAACAACAGTGCAGCGGGAGGAGTGCCTTGGGTATCCATCCGTATGAGAAAGAAGACGGTGGGCAATGGAAGGAGGAGTAAGTAAGAGACGGGCGGGCAGAAAAGAGAAGAACGACACAGAGAGAGAATATTTGGTGTGTGTGTGAGTGTGTGAGTGTGTGCGTGTGTGTATCCGTACGTGTGTGTGTAGTGTACAAAGTACATACCATGCCTTGGATGATGGTGGTGGACCTGGAGAGAAAAAAGGACGTGCCAGATGCTGGGGGAAACGCTCGGCGATCAAAAAAAGCAGAAGGGAAATACCTCGACCAAGTTCAAGCGGGGACCAAGTCGGCAGGGCCAGGTAGAAGCAGGGTAGGTATCGTATCCGACCAAGACTAGAGAGACAGCGAGAGAAAGAGAGAGAGAGAGAGAGAGAGAGGTACAGACAGCTGTGAGTACCATCACCCGTACCTGCGCCAATGCCAATACCAGTTAATGCCAGCGCCATCCATGGTGTGGAAGACCCAAAGTGTGTGCAAGAGAGCATGGACTTTTCCCCTGCTACTCTTTGCTGCTGTTGCTGCTCATCAGTGCTCACTCACTCACTCACTGACTACTTTGCCCCCCCCCCCCTTCTGTTCCCTACTTCTCATAGGATACCAACCTACGGATACCTAAGCAGCACAGCCTTGAGATGGGCACTTGTCAGGACCAATGGGTGGGGTGACTGATGGTGGATGAACAAGAAGGGCGTTGTAGATGGCACCAGGACTCGACTGGGCTGGGCTTGAGTCGACTGAGTCGAACCGACCAAGCGTGCCAAGACCTGCTGCGCTCTCTCTGCCCGTACGGTACCTCTGGGCGTGTTATTGCTGTGGCTCTTCCAACTTCTTAGTCTGTCTGCCAGTCTACAGCACCCTGTGATGCTATCTCATCCATAGCCATCTCTGGCTTGGCATCTGTGCCGGTGCTGATATTTCTATCCGTAGATGCTTGGCATGGGCTGCCCGTTCTGCTGTAAGTCGGCAATACCATGAGCACATCCTGCCGAGGACCAAATTCTGCCATACAGCGTGTGCAAGGCAACAGGCAGAGACCAGGTGCTGGTCGGAAGCAGCTGCTCCTATTGTTGTTGTAGTAGTAGTAGTAGTAGTAGTTGTTGTTGTTGTCGATGTCGTCGTCCCTCGTTCTAGTATTGGTATTGGTGTGGGACGCATGGTCAAGGTTGGGTGAGGGAAAGAGTCCGACAAGGTTAAGCTCAAATGCCTCAAGGTAAGCTTCCCACACAAGGACCGAGAGGGGAGATAAAGAAAGAGCTTGGGCAAAGCAAGGCGACGGGATCGAACGACAACTGCTGGCCGGTGCTTGATGCTTGATTCGGGCTGGTAGCCATAGTTTGCCTGATTTACTTTTTGGCTTTTGATGCCAACTATTTGGCGGGTCGACGGGAGCAAAATCTTTTTCTCGTATTTCTGCTTGACCTGTATTGTCATGCCCTGAGCATTGGTTGAAGCCAATTACGGCAGCTTTCGATGAAACAAATGTCGACAACGAATACATCACCAGCTACGGCAAACCAATACTGAGTACGATTGCAACAGTGACAAGGAACGCGAGAGCCGAGACGGACAAAGGTAGCTGACACTTGGTATGAGCAACGGCGAAGATACATGAGGGCAGATAAAACATGCAATGAACTTGATGTTGAGGGATCTGGGTATGAGCTGCGGTTGGTGGTCCGGCGTCATGGCAGAGTACAGAGAAACGGCTGTGCAATTGCAGAATTGGATACTTAGCCATACCCATCTCTTCCTGGCAGCGGGGAGCTGCCCGACGACAAGGAAGGGGGAGTGTGAGGCCACTGTGTGTGTTTGGACCAATTCCTCTCCAATACTCCAAAGACCGCTTGAAGGCCTTGCGAGGCCAAGCGGTGCTGAGCACCTGCAAGTTGAGGGGAGCAGTAAATCACCGAGCGTCCAGTGTCCGCGAGGTGTCAGCGCCAAGTTTGTGCTCGGATTGATAGATTCAAAATCGGGGAGGAGACTGGTCGACATGGACGAGGACGAGGACAAAGACGGCAACGAACGGTTGGATTGAAGGAAAAGAAACAGGATGGATAGACAGGGAAGGCAACTATGAGCTAGATAGGATAAGGTCGGATGGACAGGATGGGATGGGATAGGCGTTAAACGGTCGGGTGGGAGTGAAAAGGAAAAGGTGAGAAGAGGAGGGAGGGGGGGGGGGGGCATAGAGATGAAGATGCGAGAGGGACAAGGCGGCGATGAGGGCGGAAGATGGGCACGGCCAGAGGTATCAGGAAGAGGGAAGAGGCGAGCCGGCGGCGACAACGTCGACAACCACACCAGATGGTTGAAACGTAAAAGGTGGATGCGCAGGTGGTGCGGTATCTGTCATGCCATTGGCAATTACTGGTTGCTATTGATGTCGAATCCTCTTGCTTTGGGGATGTGTATGTACTCCGTATGGAAGTCGCAAGAGGTGATGAAAAAGACCTCTTCGGGACGAGGCGTACGTCCCACCAAGACGTTTCTGTCAAAAGGAAGGCACAGAGTCACAGAGTACCTTACCTATGGAGTATGGGGACGTATCGTCAATTTGACAATAGGAAGGAACTGTTCTTGGGGTTCTCTCTCCCCCGTTGGCCCCTTGCAGTTCCCGTCACCTTCCAAGTTTCCACTCTTTATTACGGATACATTGTCCTCAGGGTACGTAGGTTGCCATGACTGGAGAATTAAGACATCTGGGCCCCAAGTCTGGCCAACCCACTCAAGGGAGAGATGAAAGCATGCACGTGCCTGCTAGTGCTTTTTCGGCAGACTGTCTCTCTACAATACTCCACTCCATGCCTCATGTAGGTATCCTGCCTTATTATGTAGGACTGTATAAGGTAAATTGCAATGGGCCAAGAGGCATGAACCGTCAGGTAAAGCACGGCGTTCGACATGCCATCGCTTGTGGCATCCATCCCTTCCAATACAAAAGGACTCTCGACACTGACACTCTGATACCTCTGATACCTCTGATACCGTAACGTCTACGGATACCCAACGGCTGGCCCTTGCACCATGCCTTGGCTGCCTGACCTTCTGCTACAACACTGGATGGAACCTCTCATGACCCGCCAGCCAAGAAGAGGAAGAGGGCACGGTCGAGCCGGTAGAAGGCGGCAGTGGTGGGGGGCCGTGGCAAGAGGAACAGAAGGTTACGGGAAGGGAAAGGCAGCGCAGGGAGAGCACAGGCGGCGGGCTCGGGAGCCAAAATGTTGAAGAAAACAAGGAGGGAAACAGAAGAAAACAAAGCCAGCCCGTCGTCCAATTCCAAGCTTCCCTGTCCTGCTTTGCGTGCCGTGTGAGAGCCTAACTTGAGACAAGGAACATGTCTGCGCCGAACATGTAGAAGATCGCTACTTCGCGCACACAGGCCACCAGATGCGCCAGAAGTAGCGAATTACCCAGGGATAGCAACTTCGTTGTGGCTGTCGTCAACAACAGAGCGCTCATACGGGTTGATGCAAGGACAAGATACAGTGAGTGTATCCAGGGGCAGCAGACGGTTATCAGAGACTACTTTGTAAATGCAGAGGAGAAGCAGATTTGACGCCTGTGCTGCAAAGTTGGGGAAGAATGTTAAGTAAGGTCAAAAGACAAGGGTCGAGGGGCCGCTAAATTTCATCTCGACGCATCCATGGCGACAACCAGCCTCTTGGCTACGGCACCTGGTCCCCTACCTGCCCGTTGGCAAATCTCGCCCGTTGAGAATTATTTCATTTCATCCAACGCGAGGCTAGGCTACGCCGAAGTGAAGGGTCCAGCAAAAGAACATAACCATCGCAGGGTTCGATGCGAGCGAGGCTGATTGATGCCCCCCCTCCAAGTACGAATAGGGCTATCAATGCAACTGCCGCGTCAGTCATACCACGCTTGCGCCTCAAGACGCTCGGTTGTGGATGAAGTGATGACACTAGAACGGAAAGCGGGAGAGTATGAAGAAGAAGTGAAAGGAGGAGTGCGTAAGGACCAGTGAATAACACGTAAGATGAGGCATCATCGACCATCGAGACGAACTTCTTTTAGGTGAGGCGAGTACCATCGAAAACGCTTTGGCTCAACATAGCCTAGGTGTTCTTGCATAGTAGCAGTAACCAGTGGATAGGTAGGTGTGAAGGAGTGATCCCGATTGCGAGGATAATTTCCATCTGTAAACCCCTTCCACGTTGTTCCAACACTACCTTGACTTAAGTAGACCGTAGGAGGGGCATCGAGACCACAAGGGGTACGTATGTATCCGTACGTGCGTGCCTGCGGGTGACATCTTCTTGGTCTCTCGTAATCGAGGACTGCCTCCGCCAACCACGTCTATATCGGCAGACGGGCTCTTTTACCCCAGTTCCGAAGCGCGTCAGGGACAAAGCCGAAAGACAAGGCCGGAAATGCAAAGTCAGCTCCCATCTCGAGAATTCCTCTTTCGTACTGGTTTCGTCCCGCAGCCTCTTGTGTTTGTCCCGACTGCGCCGGGCGCGAGAGTGAGACAGGACGGAGCTAGGCTGATGGATCCCCCCAGCTTCACTCCATACTCCATCCGGTGCTTGGGTAGTGTGCGAAGAGTTCGTCGTGTCCTCGAGGTACTAGGTAGTGACACAGGCATTCTGTCACAACTCATTGACTACACGTCGGATGCTAGTAGAAGGAGCGTGATATGGTGTGTGGCGGGTACAATCATGGACTGATTAAAGCACTCACTCTCTGGAGGTTCAAACTTTCTCGCCGTCGTTCACCAATGCACCTTTTTTCCTTCCTTTTTGCCATTAACCAACCGTCTGTGCCTGCTGTTCGTAGAATTGGGTTATTTTTGACATTTCCAATCTGCTTACCGTTCTTGTTACCTTTCCGGTCCCTTGCCCTGCCTCGCCCGCTTCCCGCGTGGCATGCTAACTTGACTGCGGTTTTGCCTTTGGTCGATGTCACTCTAATAGATTGTCATCAAGAAAACTTTACTCCGTCCCACCACCCCCGGTGGTTTGGTGTAGCCTGTAGGCTCGGATGCCTGCAGCTTTGCTTCCCACCCAGCGCGGCTCCAAAGTCGCGCGTATTGTGCTTAATTGGAAATAGAACAATACCCACGTAAATTCCAACCGCACAGCGCATAACGGCGTCTGGCAACAGACTTGTGTTTGGGATTTCTAGTCGATGCCGATTATAGCACTATTCTCGCTCGCGAATATCGTCGGCACGGTGCCGGAACCATTGGGGCACATATCCTAGCATGTACGTCGCCGTTGAGAGACAGCCAATAATACGTACTCTGAGGGAAGCCAGAGCCAGGGAGGGGCACTCGTTGTCGCGTGGTACGCCTTAGGTAAGACAGATGGGCACACTTGGGATGGGTGACGGTGGGATCTGGCGCTCCGTAGTGTACCGTACCTGTGCCCATGCTGGTGGCTCGTTTTCGCGGTGCCAAACGCCTGTGGCTTTGCGTCAGGGAAACAGGGAGTAGGTGAACAATGCGTACAAATGGAGACGAAAAAGGCCTGTCGTGCCTGCGAGCTCAATGGAAGAGTACAAAGTACGGGATACACGAGTGTCAGTGTGTGAACGGCACAGGGGAGGGACGATAGGGGGGGACCGTGGCTTGCTGCGTCGGCTTCGCTGATTTGCTTGAGCTAGAACTCCGCGCGGGTATTGATTCGTGCCTGACCAGGGGCCAGGCTTCAAACCCTAGGTAGCTAGGGTCAGTGGAAGGGTTGTGGAAAGACCTGGGGTGCTGAAGATTGATTCGACGTCTCGCCAGTCGATACCCCAAAATATTGCAGAGTTGATGATGGAACTGATGTTCAAAGTGTGTCTTGCTGCTCTTCATACCTAGCCGAAGCTGATATTCCCACATTTGCGTGTTGTTACGCTGATACATCCAAGTAGATCTCTGCTACGAAACTCGTGGAATTGCTCTACAGATACACTTGGTCAGGACACACATTAGTACCTGGGTAAGACTCGAGAGTTGAGGGGACGAAAAGACAACGGCATGACTTTTGAGCCGCGATGCGCCATGTGTTTGAGTGGAGAATGGGAACATCGTCAAGACATGGAAGCTGCGCTCCCGCTTGGAGCCGGCCAAATATTGTCGGAGTATCCGTATCCAGTAAGGCACGAATAGGACAATACCACACGGCACTAGAGTCAAGGTAGGCTCATGGCGACAACAGCTGTGTGGACACCATGTGAAAGTGTGCAGAAAGATGATTGATGGTCCATTAGGAATAGTAAGGAAGATAGAAGAAGACGAAACGTACAGATACGGGGCTCTACTATGGATAGACTGGTCGCGGCAGCTTCACAACGGAGTGCAATCCGAGCAACGAACGGCGGGTCCGCGGGTTTGCGAAACCGGCCAACAGCCTCGGTCCTAAGTCAAATAGGGACCAACCTCTGAAAAGCAACAGGCCGAATTTTCAATGACGGGCGAGAATACTCGGGTCAAGGTTCCCTAGCCCAACTTGGCCAGGTACAAGCTCGCGACAGAATTGCGTCTACGGGTACGGATAGGCTTGCATAGCTACTACCTTAGCTGTGTCTGCAGGGAGGAGTTCACGAATAGGGTAAAGGGGGGGGGATGGTTAGAAGGAAAAAGCAAATAAAGATAGGGACGACGAGAAAGAGAAAAAAAAAACACGGAGGAGAAAAGACTATTGCCATCAAGCTTGTCACTTCGGACAGGGAACAGGGTGAACAGGATCTTCCCATGTCGTCTACAGAAAGCAGACGCAAGCCGAGCCAGTAAGTTGCGAGCTGCAGAACAAGGGACCACAGGCCACCCCTGCTCATAAGCACCCAACGCCAGGAACCCAGGCGGGGTGGGAGGCTCAGGTCCCCGAGAAATTGAAGAATGATCAACACAAGGGTGGGAATAGGGTGGGTGGTCGATGGAAGGCTGTGCGACGTGCAGTTGAAAGAATGGATGGCTGGATGGTAATGTGAGGTGGGTGGTGGTGGTGGTGGGGTTGTTGTTGAAGGAGCGAAAAGGGTGAAGCGGGAGCAGAATCAGAAGGGGAGAATGGTAAGGGGGGGGGGGGGGGGGGGGCAGGGGGGTGGGGGGGGGGAGGGGGGGGGGGGGGGGGGGGGGGGGGGGGGGGGGGGTGGGTGGGGGGGGGGGGGGGGAGGGGGAGGGGGGGGAGGGGGGGGGGGGGGGGGGGGGGGGGGGGGGGGGGGGGGGCGTGGATCACATGGATGATGGTGCGGGATGTCTGCCAAGTCGAGTTGAGCAAGCACGGTTTGGAAAAAAGAGAAACACGTGATCTGGTGAATGCAGCACGTACCTACTGACAGTTTTAAGGTAGGTAGGTATCTTAGGTGCCTTAGGAACCTACCTTATGTACTCTGGCTTTGGGTATCTTGTACCTAAGCTAGAAGATGAGAGCAATCAAGCACGAAACCTGAACATTTCGTGACTTCCAACTTAAGATCGGGCGGATCGGAACAACAATTCCCTCCGCCGTTTTCTCTGTCCTCTTGCCAGGCCTCACTCTGCAATGCATGAGCTCACTGCCTGCCTCTGAATGTAGATGGTTTATCAATTCTCCTGCTCCTGATATGTCAAGGCTACGTACTCCCTACTCAACGCCATGTACAGATAACGATATCCGTACGAGCCTCTTCTTCTAAGAAACCAAGTCATGTCACTTGCTGGGAAGACCACAGCTGACACACGGCCTCGTTGAAATGGGACACCGGGGGGCGGAGGGGGCGGTGGAGTCGAGACCAGGGGAGAGCTCACATCACCGGCAGTGTATCGTCATCCTCCATCTTGAGAGTCTGCCTACTTTCCGAAACCGATGGCTACAACGACAAATTTGACTACACCCTATCACATTATCGTATCATTAAAGGACAAGGTGGCGAACTGACCGAACGGCCGGGAGTAGATCAAAGATTGGTCGCCGGGCATCATGCAACGTTTAACTTACACAACTGGACATCCCTCTGCCAACTAAGACTTCATCTCTTAGATAGCAAGCAAGCCAATTTTTGTTCACTCACTTGTCACCTATGTGGATGAAGCTGGGCAACTCTATTCTAACAGAACCTAGGCACATACCCAACGTAAGCTAAACCGTCTCATCGTATCTTGAGATGGTGTGGTGCAAGTGCCCACCCGACATCCGAGAGCCCTCTCTCTCTCTCTCTCTCTCTCTCTCTCTCTCGCTTCACCAACTGCTCTGGATTTAGCTTCAAGAAATACCCAGCATGTTCCTCGTCAAAGCTAACCTTATTGGTTCAGCAAGGCGAGCCGATTTTAGTCTTGAAGATGAAGGGTCGGCGGGAGGGACGCTGCGGCATAACTTCAAGATGTTCGGATCCGCCTCATCGCCATCGGCGGGGTGGTCATGCAGTGGCACTTGCATTTGTTTGTATTCGTATGCGCTTTCGACGTTCAATGGCGCAACATATCAGCCGGGGCACATTGACTATGCGCAATGGACTTTCCATTCTCTATCATATTGCTC